GCTCACGTTCGTGCCTCTGGCACGGACAAACTCACTGCCCGCACCGTCCCCTATGACCTTCTAGGTTTCCCCCTCGACTCGTCTGACTGGCACTTCAACCACCCGCCGACTCACCTTTTCTTTCACTCTCGCGACGTCACCTTTGACGAGTCCATCTCCTTCTACCACCGCTTTCCCGACCGTGGTCCCCCGGTCACTCCCCCCCAGTTCCTGGTTCCCCCCCTCCCCCGGTCGCCTCTGCTCCTCCCCCTCCCCGCCCTGCCCCGTCTGGTGTGTCTTACGTCACCCCCCTCCCGTTGGTTGTCCCTGCCGAGGGGTCTGCTGACTCTCGCGGCTCGGCGGACCCGTTGGCGTCACGCAGCAATCAACGCCGTCGCAACCGGTGTCCGCTCTTCGCCTCCTCGGCCTTCCTTCTCCTGACCGCACGCCGGTGCTTTCTCGGTCGCCACCGCCTCCTCCTCTGCCGGTCTGCGGCCCTGTGTTTCCTCCAGTGGACTCTTCTCCAGCTCATTTCCCTCCTCGTTCTCCTCCTGTGACCCCTCCCCTCTCTCCTGACCCGACTCCCCCGTCTCACGTGTGGGCTCGTCGTCCGTCTCATGCTCGTCCTACCTCCCGTGTTCCGCGTTCTCACCCTATGTTGCTTCGCTCTCACGCGTATCGTGCTCCTCCGCTCCTCCCGTCTCCTCCTCCGTCATCGCTCACTGTGGCCCAGCCTCCGTTTTCTAACTTCCTCCATACCGCGCGTCCCCTTGTTCCTCGTGTCCTTGCCTTCCTCGTTTCAAACCCGTCTGTTCCAGTCTCTAGCCTTAACGCTCTTGTCGTTGCTGTCGCTGACTTCGCCGTTACCCGCTGCCTTGACTACGCTACAGCTCTGGACTCTGACCCTGCCTGCCCTCCATCCGTTGGGGGTGTGGTTGCCCTTGGTAGTGACGTCCTAGACGAATGACAATATGAGCTTGCTTTCCTATAAGAGGCCGCTCCCCATCTCTGTTCCATGCTGCTAGTCCTAAAGGGTGACCCAGACGCCCTTAACATCCTGACCCCTCGCACCTACGCTGAGGCCACCTCGGGACCCTGGGCCTCTCTTTAGATAGCTGCCATAGAGTAGGAGATGGCATCTTGGAGATCCACCGGTACCTTCGTTAACGCAGTTCCCCCTCCAAGGGTGACGGTAGTCAATGGCCGATGGCTCTTCAAGGTGAAGTGCCCTCCTCGAGAGCCGCCAATCTTCAAGGCGCGCTACATTGCTCATGGCTTCAGTCAGCGAGCTGCACTTACTTGACTTCTCCACAGCTTTCCTCCGGGGCAGTCTACACGAGCACGTCTATCTGCGCCACCCCCAGGGCTTCTTCGGTAACTTTCCCCCTGGTACCGAGTAGTTTCTGCGGTGCCCCATCTACGGCCTGCGCTAGGCGCCCTAAGAGTGGAACAACATGCTGCATGCTACACTTGCTGACCTGCAGTTCTTCCCGTCGTCTGCAGACCCCTCACTCTTCGTCCATTCCGGCCCGACTCCGTTCTACACTGAGGGAAAAAACCGTCCGGATGTTTGGCACTAAGTTGGGTTTTTAGGCTTTGAGACTACTGTATGGTAAACCTGCAAGATGCACGGTGGTACATGTTGGGAGAGGCACAAAGTGGATGCGTTCACTGCACTGAGAACTAGATTAGTACATTGGATCTAACTCATACTCCAAAAGATATACAACGAGTACATCCGGACAGTTTTTTCCCAGGACAAAGAGCAAACTTCCGAACAACGTTTCTAGTACCTAGTCCACCTACTCTTGGCGTTGATCACCATCCACACCCTCCTAGGCATGTTATCTATGTGGTTAGTGCAGACCTTTGCATGAAGCTTCTCGCACTCTTCCTTGACCCACCATTTTGCATAAGGGGGTGAGCACAAGGAAAATTGCGAAGTATTTGAGCGTATGCATAAGTATTGTGCACGAATTCAGATTGAATGTAATCTCTGAGACTAGCCAAGCCGAGGGGTGTCCAAAGATGCCATTAGTTAAATGGTCCCGGCTTATCATGGGTCGTCTTCGTCGTATCGTTCTAGGGTAAAATCACGAATAGAGTGGCAAAATCTAGCATTCCCGCCACGAATCTTAGGGTAACAGAGCACGGTCGACTGAACATCCTTTCACTGTGTGAACCATGTTAAAATACGCGGGTCTAGTGACGGGGCAGCAGTCGAAGAAACCTCGACTGTTTGGGAAGAATATCTGGATTGAGGTCTGGTGAGAAAAAGGGTCACTCCAGCGCAACATACTTATGCTCTCCAAGGCATTCCATGTCATTTTCCCTGCCTAGGCTTGGAATGGCTCGGAGAGCATGGATATGTAGCTCTGGAGTGCCCCTCTTCCTCACCAGACCTCAACCCTGATATTCTTCCCAAACAGTCGAGACTTCTTCAACTGATGCACTGTCACTAGACTCGCGGATTTTAACATGATTCTAACAATGAAAGGATGCTCAATCGACCGTGCTCTGTTACCCTAAGTTTCGTGGCGGGTATGCTAGATTTTGCCACTCTATACGTGATTTCACCCTACTCCGATTCGACGAAAACAACCCATGATAAGCCAAGACCATTCAACTAATGGCATCTTTGGACACCCTTCGGCTTGGCTAGTCTCAGAGATTACATTCAATCTGAATTCGTGCACAATACTTATGCATACGCTCAAATACTTCGCAATTTTCCTTGTGCTCACCCCCTTATGCAAAATGGTGGGTCAAGGAAGAGTGCGAGAAGCTTCATGCAAAGGTCTGCACTAACCACATAGATAACATGCCTAGGAGGGTGTGGATGGTGATCAACGCCAAGAGTAGGTGGACTAGGTACTAGAAACGTTGTTAGGAAGTTTGCTCTTTGTCCTGGGAAAAAACTGTCCGGATGTACTCGTTGTATATCTTTTGGAGTATGAGTTAGATCCAATGTACTAATCTAGTTCTCAGTGCAGTGAACGCATCCACTTTGTGCCTCTCCCAACGTGTACCACCGTGCATCTTGCAGGTTTACCATACAGTAGTCTCAAAGCCTAAAAACCCAACTTAGTGCCAAACATCCGGACGGTTTTTTCCCTCAGTGTACATCCTTGTTTACGTAGACGACCTGGTCTTTGCTACTGCAGACAGAGACGCGCTGGCCTCCATGAAGGCCGAGCTGCTGATGAGACACACTTGCACTGACCTAGGAGAGCTACCTTGGCCTGTAGATCTCCAGGGACAGCGCACCATCACTCTCACACAGTCACATTTGGTGCGCCAGGTCCTTCAGAGGTTCGGCCTTCAGCTCTCTTCCGCACAGCCCACCCCTCTGCTAGTAGACCACAGACTCTCTGCTTCAGTCCCGGAGGAGGCTGTAGAGCCTAGTGTTCTTTACGCAGAGTTGGTGGGTTGCCTCATGTACCTAATGACTTGCACTCGTCTAGATCTCGCATACCCTCTCAGCATTTTGGCCCGCTTTGTGGCCTCGGGCAGACATCGCCCACAGCACTAGTCTGCAGCTAAGACGGTTTTGCGTTATCTAGCAAGTATATCGGGCATGCAGCTAGTGCTATGAGGACGCAGGCCGGTGGTCTTTACCGGACACATAGACGCTTCTTGGGCAGACAACGCCGAGACCCTCAGGTCCTCCCAGGGCTACTGCTTTAGCCTTGGTACAGGTGCCATCTCGTGGAGGTCTACCCGCTTGTCGTCTGTTGCCCAGACTAGCTGTGAGGCTGAGATCTACGTCGGTGCCATGGCAGCACAGGACCTCCGTTGGCTAACTTTCTTGCTCACAGACTTAGGTGAGCGGCCTAGCTCTGCCCCGATCCTGTATGCTAATAACAGGGCCATGATCCTTCTGTGTCAGGAGCCTAGACTCGAGGGTAGAGCGAAGCACATCCAGCTGCGGTACTTCCTCCCGCACGAGCTACAGCAATGTCGCCAAGCCCGCGTAGTACACTTGGCCTCTGGTGCCTACACAGCTGATATCTTACGAAGGCGGTTTCGCCTAAAGATCATCAGCAGCACTACGTACAGCTTGGTCTCGTGGCCCTTGCTAGGACCTTGATTGTGTATAACACTTTACATATTATCCTAACTGGCCTTGTGGCTTTCTCCTAGTGGCTGGACTAGTAATGCCGCCTTGGTCTTGTTCTTGCATTGTTTGTACTCTTTTAACTGGTCTTTAGACCCCTGCCTCAGAAGGTTGGACTAATAGTGCCGCCCTGAGCTGTTTGTCTCTCACCAGGCTCTGCCCCTATCTAGTCTTGGGGGTGTGTCAAACATATTTGTGTATGTTTATTAGACTACATAGGGTCTTGTCATAAAGATTACAACCCACTAAGTATATACCCTTGTATCCTCTTATTCTATTCAACACGTCTGATTTTGACAAGTAGCTTTGATACCAGATGTTATAAATAATTACTGAGAGTGCACTGATTAATAATGATGAGTACGAAGGCTAGCATTATATAGCGAGAGCCCTAGCTAGGCGAGGACCCCGAAGGGCTAGGTTGGATACAGGCGCGGTCGAAAGGGCCGGAGGTGGCGCGAACCAGCCTCGGGGTTGTGTCGGAATCAGACCGAGCCTGGTCTTCCGAGAGTTCGGGTGTACTTCAACCCGGTAAAGATTAACATTCCTTACAAATGCACAAGCCATTTCCTTATCGTAACAAGGTTTTGGGCCGAGCCTGGAATTCCGGATTTCAGGGCTTTCGCCGTGTGGCGAGGTCTCGCTAACGAAATATTTTGTTCTTACACATTCTATATGACTAATCGTTCTATAACCCTAATGAAGGATGAGAACAGTTTTTCTAACATATTAGATTCTGTACAAATTTTGATTGTCGAGTCCGAGGCCTTATCGCATATCAACCACCTCCCCCAAGCTCCCGTGGTTGGGGCATCTCCTCGTGTGTTCCCCTCCCCTCCCCGCCTGCCTGACACGCCGGTGTGATAGCCGCAGCACCCAGTGAATTCTCCTAGGCTCCTATCCGACTGCCCCTCCCCTTGCCCTTCTTGCCGTCCTTCTCCCATGCTGTACAAAGGAGCATCCCTCCCTAAGAACAACCAAGCGGCTCCGCCTGTTGACGAGTAGGTTTCTTGGTCGTCTCATCCCCACCGCTTCCGTTTCGGCCCAATTCCCAGTCTCCGCCACTCGCTCTCCGACTCAATCGCGTCCTCTAATAGCGGAACACGGGGCATCGTCGTCGTCCCGTCATGCCCAGGTGCACCTTGAATTGCGATGCCTCATCCTCATGTTGCACATTCCAAAATTCTTGAATCGTCTCGGCTCGATTCTCTCAATTCCGCGCCTTCCCCCCGTTCCGCGGGAATCACGATTCCGCCTCCTGCTTCCGCCTCTCCGCCTACTGCTTGTTCCCCAGCTCCGCAGCCCCGTTGTTCCATCGACTCAAGTTTACACACACCCCGCGACGTCGCGCCCCCAGGTAATTCCGCCGCCGCCTCTCCGCACTTCTGCTTCCGCCAGCCCCAGCAGCCGCTGCGCCGCCGCTCCCCGCGCCCGCCGTCTTCTTGCGCTACCTCTCTTCCCGCCGCTCCCGCCTGGATCGCAATCTTCGCCACATTCTTCGCGAATTCGCCGCATGACCACCGATTGCGCTGCTTAGTAGAAACGAGTATCGCAGCTCTCACCGTGACTCGCGACGACGGCGACGACAGTGACAATTGCAGAGACGTCGCCATGCTCGAGTCGCACAGCGCGTGGCGAAACATGATGGCGACGGTGAGGCATTCCCCTCATGACAACCCCTGACGCGACATCAAAGGCTGGATCGATGCCGCAACACGGCATCAAGCGCTAGCAGTGCCGCCTGAAACCGTGGCCGCTGTGGCATCGTGGCGACGGTAGGGGGAGAAGCCCTCAGGCTCGCTCTCGCTCGCCCTGCTCGGCCTTCCCTTCCTCCTCCTCCTCCTCCTCGTCCTCTGCTCGCTCTTCCTCTTCTCCCTCAACCAACCCGGCTCCTTCGGCTGGGATAGACATAGCGTGGCCGTGGACGGTTATGCTGACTACAGCGGCAGCAGCAGTAGCGGCGGAAACTTCAACGCAAACAGCATCAGCAGCACCAGTAGTAGTAGCAGCAGCAGCACCACCACCACCATCAGCACGAGTAGCGGGTACCACCGCTACCCGTTCCGCTCGCACCTGCACCACGCCGTCACTCTCAAATGGCGGCCTGCGCGGGACGTGAGCGGCAGCATGAGCGGCAGCCAAGGTGCAAAAAAACGGCATCCGTACTAAACGGTCCGTTTTTTACGGTGGGTTTTGGTAAAAAACGACGTTTTTTTGTTAGACCTTTTTTTCACGATTTTTTTTTTTTTTTTTAATGTATAAAAAGCACCCGTAAACAAGTGGCCTGATTGCTAAGGCGGCCTGCATCATTCTACGGGGTAATTAGCGGCTTTGAAATAGGTATGTGATGTCCATGCCCCTAGTCCGTCGCCTTTTAGGTCTCATTCTGCTCCTACTCCACCATCCCCCCATCCTCCTCCTCCTAAGCGTCATCCATCTAGTCCTCCCCCCCTTAGTCCTCCCCCCCCTAAAGCGTTATTAGCTCGACCAAAAACAATGTACACCGTATTATACGGTGATATGAAAAAAACGGTCGTATAAAACGGCCGTTTTTTTGCACCAAACGCAAAATGCAACTTTCGACCGTTTTAATGGTATTATACGACCGTTTTATACGATCCCGTTTTAAACGGTCAAAAAATGTAAAAAACGTCGTTTTTTTGCACCTTGTCGGCAGCGGTGGCATGGGCCGCAGTGGGTGGCGACATTGGCGCCAATTCTGAAGCAGGCGGAGGGGCAGCGGGCGGAGGGGCAGTGGGCATTAGTGCTGGTGGTGGTGGTGATGCCGTTGATGCTGCTGCCAGCAGTGAGACAGGCGACAGTGGTCTGACTGCTGAATCAAGGCCAAGTGAAGAGGCGAGTGATGTCCCCCTCTCCTCCGACTCAACCCCTCAAGATAACAGCCTAGGGCGAGGGCAGCTCACCCCTCCTCCTGCGGGCTCTGCAGTCCCGGTGTTGCAAGGGCTCGCTCCGGCGTCGCTGCCGCCTCCCTCTGATGTACCATCGCCCGCAGCACCCTTGGTATCAGCAACGGCGGCATCGTCAGCAGCATTGGCATCATTCGCAGCGGCAGTACCTTCAGAATCACTCGCATCACAATCCCCGCCCTCCCAATCCCCGAACTCCACAGCGCCACCAGTCTCCCTATCTCCCCCCTCCCTTTCACCACCGTCCCTACCAGCCCCCGAAGCACCATTGCCAGCAGAAGCAGCAGTGGCAACATCAGCAGCACAAGTAACTTCAACATCGTCATTAACAGCACCACCCATAACGTCATCAGTACCTTCCCAATGCACATCCCCCTCCTCCCCATCCTCTCCCTCCACCCCCATGGGCTCCCTCTACATACCCATGGCTACCATCCCGGGATGGAAAGACCCTCCCACTCCACATGATGCCCCCTCGGCCAATGCCAGCCTGGCGGCGGACGTGGCGGCTGTCGTGGTGGCTGACGCGGCGGCTGACCTGGTGGCTGACGTGGCGAAGAGCGGGGGCATTCCCAGCGAGCCCCTGCTGGGGTCTGCTTGGAGCCCCGGCGGCAGGAAGTATCTCCTGGCGCTCTGCTCCACCGGCGGGGTGAGTCGCTCGCACTGGTTCACTTGAGGTTGGAGTCTTGGAGAAGGGGATGTTTCACGGTTCCACGGCTGGTGTCCCTTGATTCTGCTAATGGGCCACCGTGCGCTTTCTTCCCCTCCTTTCATTCCTACCCTTCCACCGCCCCTCCCCTGCTCACTGCACCTTCGGTTGCACCTCCCTCCATCCGTACCTCCCCCCCACCCCCCCTTCCCTCTCCCCCCCTCCCCCCCACCCCCCGTCCCTCCCCCCAGATGTCCAACCACCTCTTCTGTCTGCGCGAGTTTGCTTAAGACTCGACTCAGAAGTTTCCTCCCCCATTCCTGCCCTTCCATTGCCCCTTCCTCCATCCCTAACTCCCCCCTCCGCCCCCCCCAGATGTCCAACCACCTCTTCTGTCTGCGCGAGTTTGCTCTGCTGGCAGGTGCGCTCAACAGAACGCTCGTTGTGCCCATGGGGCGAGATGAGGTGAGGGCATGGGGCGAGATGAGGTGAGGGCACGTCCTTAGCGCAAGAAGCACAAGCGTTTTCACATTCGTTTTTCGATACCCCACTCGTTCTTCCTTTCTCTCCACTCCCCGTTGTTGTCCCATCCCATCCCTGCTCCTCTTACCAACTCCCCCCCACTCCCCCCCCCCCCCCACCCCACCCACCCGTCATCCCCCTCGCTCTCCCCCCACGTTCGCCATCTCTAACCATTTCTCGAGGACAGGTTTTCCTTCTCTCTTTCCCTCCACACATCTGCTCTGCATGCCCCTGTCCCCCGTCCTCGACCTGCCCTTGAGCCATGCTTTTATGTGTCTTGCTTTCACCCCCACTATCCACCCCTTCCCCCTTCCCCGTCCATCAGCTCAGCATGCCGCTCTCCCTGGTGTTCGACCTGCCCTTCCTGCGAGCCTGCTACGGCCCCAAGACTGCCCTCACCCTCGACGAGTACAAGCAATACGTGAGCTACCCTCACTCTCTCTCCCCATGCCATGCTGTGCACTGCGTTGCATTGTTAGGCCACGGCTGTTGTCTGTCTGTCCGTCCCCCTCGTCTTTAACCCATGTGGTCTGCCTCCCGTGCCTCTCCTGTCTCTGCCCCCACCCCCCACCCGTTCCTGCCCCTACCCCCCACCCGATCCTGCCTCTACCACCCACCTGCCCCATGCAGTTGGGCAAGGGCAGTCTGGAGGTGACCCACGTGGTGTGCCTTGCCAAGGCTCTCACATCGTGCCTGACCCTCCCCCGTCCTCTTGTGTTCCCAACCCTCCCCCGTCGTCCTGTGTTCGCAACCCTCCCCCGTCGTCCTGTGTTCGCAACCCTCCCCCGTCGTCCTGTGTTCGCAACCCTCCCCCGTCGTCCTGTGTTCGCAACCCTCCCCCGTCGTCCTGTGTTCGCAACCCCCTGTCGTCCTGTGTTCGCAACCCTCCCCCGTCCTCCTGTGTTCGCAACCCTCCCCCGTCCTCCTGTGTTCGCAACCCTCCCCCGTCCTCCTGTGTTCGCAACCCTCCCCCGTCGTCCTGTGTTCGCAACCCTCCCCCGTCCTCCTGTGTTCGCAACCCTCCCCCGTCGTCCTGTGTTCGCAACCCTCCCCCGTCGTCCTGTGTTCGCAACCCTCCCCCGTCGTCCTGTGTTCGCAACCCTCCCCCGTCGTCCTGTGTTCGCAACCCTCCCCCGTCGTCCTGTGTTCGCAACCCTCCCCCATCCTCCTGTGTTCGCAACCCTCCCCCGTCCTCCTGTGTTCGCAACCCTCCCCCGTCGTCCTGTGTTCGCAACCCTCCCCGTCGTCCTGTGTTCGCAACCTCCCCCTGTGTTCGCAACCCTCCCCCGTCCTCCTGTGTTCGCAACCCTCCCCCGTCCTCCTGTGTTCGCAACCCTCCCCCGTCGTCCTGTGTTCGCAACCCTCCCCCGTCGTCCTGTGTTCGCAACCCTCCCCCGTCGTCCTGTGTTCGCAACCCTCCCCCGTCGTCCTGTGTTCCCAACCCTCCCCCGTCGTCCTGTGTTCCCAACCCTCCCCCGTCGTCCTGTGTTCCCAACCCTCCCCCGTCGTCCTGTGTTCGCAACCCTCCCCCGTCGTCCTGTGTTCGCAACCCTCCCCCGTCCTCCTGTGTTCGCAACCCTCCCCCGTCGTCCTGTGTTCGCAACCCTCCCCCGTCGTCCTGTGTTCGTAACCCTCCCCCGTCGTCCTGTGTTCGCAACCCTCCCCCGTCCTCCTGTGTTCGCAACCCTCCCCCATCGTCCTGTGTTCGCAACCCTTCCCCGTCGTCCTCTGTTCGCAACCCTCCCCCGTCGTCCTGTGTTCGCAACCCTCCCCCGTCCTCCTGTGTTCGCAACCCTCCCCCGTCGTCCTGTGTTCGCAACCCTCCCCCGTCGTCCTGTGTTCGCAACCCTCCCCCGTCGTCCTGTGTTCGCAACCCTCCCCCGTCGTCCTGTGTTCGCAACCCTCCCCCGTCGTCCTGTGTTCGCAACCCTCCCCCGTCGTCCTGTGTTCGCAACCCTCCCCCGTCCTCCTGTGTTCGCAACCCTCCCCCGTCGTCCTGTGTTCGCAACCCTTTCCCGTCGTCCTGTGTTCGCAACCCTCCCCCGTCGTCCTGTGTTCGCAACCCTCCCCCGTCCTCCTGTGTTCGCAACCCTCCCCCGTCCTCCTGTGTTCGCAACCCTCCCCCGTCGTCCTGTGTTCGCAACCCTCCCCCGTCGTCCTGTGTTCGCAACCCTCCCCCGTCGTCCTGTGTTCGCAACCCTCCCCCGTCGTCCTGTGTTCGCAACCCTCCCCCATCGTCCTGTGTTCGCAACCCTCCCCCGTCGTCCTGTGTTCGCAACCCTCCCCCGTCGTCCTGTGTTCGCAACCCTCCCCCGTCCTCCTGTGTTCGCAACCCTCCCCCGTCGTCCTGTGTTCGCAACCCTTCCCCGTCGTCCTGTGTTCGCAACCCTCCCCCGTCGTCCTGTGTTCGCAACCCTCCCCCGTCGTCCTGTGTTCGCAACCCTCCCCCGTCGTCCTGTGTTCGCAACCCTCCCCCGTCGTCCTGTGTTCGCAACCCTCCCCCGTCGTCCTGTGTTCGCAACCCTCCCCCGTCGTCCTGTGTTCCCAACCCTCCCCCGTCGTCCTGTGTTCCCAACCCTCCCCCGTCGTCCTGTGTTCGCAACCCTCCCCCGTCGTCCTGTGTTCCCAACCCTCCCCCGTCGTCCTGTGTTCGCAACCCTCCCCCGTCGTCCTGTGTTCGCAACCCTCCCCCGTCCTCCTGTGTTCGCAACCCTCCCCCGTCCTCCTGTGTTCGCAACCCTCCCCCGTCGTCCTGTGTTCGCAACCCTCCCCCGTCGTCCTGTGTTCGCAACCCTCCCCCGTCGTCCTGTGTTCGCAACCCTCCCCCGTCGTCCTGTGTTCGCAACCCTCCCCCGTCCTCCTGTGTTCGCAACCCTCCCCCGTCGTCCTGTGTTCGCAACCCTTTCCCGTCGTCCTGTGTTCGCAACCCTCCCCCGTCGTCCTGTGTTCGCAACCCTCCCCCGTCCTCCTGTGTTCGCAACCCTCCCCCGTCCTCCTGTGTTCGCAACCCTCCCCCGTCGTCCTGTGTTCGCAACCCTCCCCCGTCGTCCTGTGTTCGCAACCCTCCCCCGTCGTCCTGTGTTCGCAACCCTCCCCCGTCGTCCTGTGTTCGCAACCCTCCCCCGTCGTCCTGTGTTCGCAACCCTCCCCCGTCGTCCTGTGTTCCCAACCCTCCCCCGTCGTCCTGTGTTCCCAACCCTCCCCCGTCGTCCTGTGTTCGCAACCCTCCCCCGTCGTCCTGTGTTCGCAACCCTCCCCCGTCGTCCTGTGTTTCCAACCCTCCCCCGTCGTCCTGTGTTCGCAACCCTCCCCCGTCGTCCTGTGTTCGCAACCCTCCCCCGTCCTCCTGTGTTCGCAACCCTCCCCCATCGTCCTGTGTTCGCAACCCTTCCCCGTCGTCCTCTGTTCGCAACCCTCCCCCGTCGTCCTGTGTTCGCAACCCTCCCCCGTCCTCCTGTGTTCGCAACCCTCCCCCGTCCTCCTGTGTTCGCAACCCTCCCCCGTCGTCCTGTGTTCGCAACCCTCCCCCGTCGTCCTGTGTTCGCAACCCTCCCCCGTCGTCCTGTGTTCGCAACCCTCCCCCGTCGTCCTGTGTTCGCAACCCTCCCCCGTCGTCCTGTGTTCGCAACCCTCCCCCGTCGTCCTGTGTTCCCAACCCTCCCCCGTCGTCCTGTGTTCGCAACCCTCCCCCGTCGTCCTGTGTTCGCAACCCTCCCCCGTCCTCCTGTGTTCGCAACCCTCCCCCGTCGTCCTGTGTTCGCAACCCTCCCCCGTCGTCCTGTGTTCGTAACCCTCCCCCGTCGTCCTGTGTTCGCAACCCTCCCCCGTCCTCCTGTGTTCGCAACCCTCCCCCATCGTCCTGTGTTCGCAACCCTTCCCCGTCGTCCTCTGTTCGCAACCCTCCCCCGTCGTCCTGTGTTCGCAACCCTCCCCCGTCCTCCTGTGTTCGCAACCCTCCCCCGTCGTCCTGTGTTCGCAACCCTCCCCCGTCGTCCTGTGTTCGCAACCCTCCCCCGTCGTCCTGTGTTCGCAACCCTCCCCCGTCGTCCTGTGTTCGCAACCCTCCCCCGTCGTCCTGTGTTCGCAACCCTCCCCCGTCGTCCTGTGTTCGCAACCCTCCCCCGTCCTCCTGTGTTCGCAACCCTCCCCCGTCGTCCTGTGTTCGCAACCCTTTCCCGTCGTCCTGTGTTCGCAACCCTCCCCTGTCGTCCTGTGTTCGCAACCCTCCCCCGTCCTCCTGTGTTCGCAACCCTCCCCCGTCCTCCTGTGTTCGCAACCCTCCCCCGTCGTCCTGTGTTCGCAACCCTCCCCCGTCGTCCTGTGTTCGCAACCCTCCCCCGTCGTCCTGTGTTCGCAACCCTCCCCCGTCGTCCTGTGTTCGCAACCCTCCCCCATCGTCCTGTGTTCGCAACCCTCCCCCGTCGTCCTGTGTTCGCAACCCTCCCCCGTCGTCCTGTGTTCGCAACCCTCCCCCGTCGTCCTGTGTTCCCAACCCTCCCCCGTCGTCCTGTGTTCCCAACCCTCCCCCGTCGTCCTGTGTTCGCAACCCTCCCCCGTCGTCCTGTGTTCGCAACCCTCCCCCGTCCTCCTGTGTTCGCAACCCTCCCCCGTCGTCCTGTGTTCGCAACCCTCCCCCGTCGTCCTGTGTTCGTAACCCTCCCCCGTCGTCCTGTGTTCGCAACCCTCCCCCGTCCTCCTGTGTTCGCAACCCTCCCCCATCGTCCTGTGTTCGCAACCCTTCCCCGTCGTCCTCTGTTCGCAACCCTCCCCCGTCGTCCTGTGTTCGCAACCCTCCCCCGTCCTCCTGTGTTCGCAACCCTCCCCCGTCGTCCTGTGTTCGCAACCCTCCCCCGTCGTCCTGTGTTCGCAACCCTCCCCCGTCGTCCTGTGTTCGCAACCCTCCCCCGTCGTCCTGTGTTCGCAACCCTCCCCCGTCGTCCTGTGTTCGCAACCCTCCCCCGTCGTCCTGTGTTCGCAACCCTCCCCCGTCGTCCTGTGTTCGCAACCCTCCCCCGTCCTCCTGTGTTCGCAACCCTCCCCCGTCGTCCTGTGTTCGCAACCCTTTCCCGTCGTCCTGTGTTCGCAACCCTCCCCCGTCGTCCTGTGTTCGCAACCCTCCCCCGTCCTCCTGTGTTCGCAACCCTCCCCCGTCGTCCTGTGTTCGCAACCCTCCCCCGTCGTCCTGTGTTCGCAACCCTCCCCCGTCCTCCTGTGTTCGCAACCCTCCCCCATCGTCCTGTGTTCGCAACCCTTCCCCGTCGTCTCTGTCCACCCTCCCCCGTCGTCCTGTGTTCGCAACCCTCCCCCGTCCTCCTGTGTTCGCAACCCTCCCCCGTCGTCCTGTGTTCGCAACCCTCCCCCGTCGTCCTGTGTTCGCAACCCTCCCCCGTCGTCCTGTGTTCGCAACCCTCCCCCGTCGTCCTGTGTTCGCAACCCTCCCCCGTCGTCCTGTGTTCGCAACCCTCCCCCGTCGTCCTGTGTTCGCAACCCTCCCCCGTCGTCCTGTGTTCGCAACCCTCCCCCGTCCTCCTGTGTTCGCAACCCTCCCCCGTCGTCCTGTGTTCGCAACCCTTTCCCGTCGTCCTGTGTTCGCAACCCTCCCCCGTCGTCCTGTGTTCGCAACCCTCCCCCGTCCTCCTGTGTTCGCAACCCTCCCCCGTCCTCCTGTGTTCGCAACCCTCCCCCGTCGTCCTGTGTTCGCAACCCTCCCCCGTCGTCCTGTGTTCGCAACCCTCCCCCGTCGTCCTGTGTTCGCAACCCTCCCCCGTCGTCCTGTGTTCGCAACCCTCCCCCGTCGTCCTGTGTTCGCAACCCTCCCCCGTCGTCCTGTGTTCCCAACCCTCCCCCGTCGTCCTGTGTTCCCAACCCTCCCCCGTCGTCCTGTGTTCGCAACCCTCCCCCGTCGTCCTGTGTTCGCAACCCTCCCCCGTCGTCCTGTGTTTCCAACCCTCCCCCGTCGTCCTGTGTTCGCAACCCTCCCCCGTCGTCCTGTGTTCGCAACCCTCCCCCGTCGTCCTGTGTTCCCAACCCTCCCCCGTCGTCCTGTGTTCGCAACCCTCCCCCGTCGTCCTGTGTTCCCAACCCTCCCCCGTCGTCCTGTGTTCCCAACCCTCCCCCGTCGTCCTGTGTTCCCAACCCTCCCCCCTAATCTTGTGTTCCCAACACTCTCCCCCTCCCCCCCTGCCAACCCGCCCCCCCTGCCAACCCTCCCCCCCTGCCAACCCTGGCACCCGGTCCGTCCCTGCGGCTACCACGCACCTACCCCTGACCCTCCCTGCCACGCTCCTGACCCTGCCACGCTCCTGACCCTGCCACGCTCCTGACCCTGCCACGCTCCTGTCCCTGCCACGCTCCTGTCCCTGCCACGCTCCTGTCCCTGCCACGCTCTTGCCCCATGCAGGTGGGCAAGGGCAGTATGGAGGTGACCCACGTGGTGTGCCTTGTGCGGGGATGCCACGTCGAGCCAGACGCTGGTGAGACACACAAGGGGGAAGGGATGGGAGGAAAGGGGCGGGGGAGGAAGGTGGGGTGGGATGGGGAGGGGAAGTGGTGAGTGGGTTGGGGGGACAGGGGAGGGGAGGGAGGAAAGGGAATGGGGGGGAGAGAGGATCAGGGCGAAAGAGGAGGAGTGTAGGGTGCGGTGCGAGTGACCCATGTGGTGTGCGGGTTGGAGCGGAGCGGGTGCGACAGTGGGTACTACTTGAGTCGTAGAGCAGACTCAGCAGTGGAGAAGAGAAGGATGCCTTTTCAAAACCTAGAGCTCGTATTTTTGGAAGTGGAGATGAGAAGGATGTCTCGGGTAGCTACGCCACCGTTTCTCTCTTTGCTCATCTCCCCTCTCCCCCACTCTCTTACCCCCCCACCTCCTTCCCAGCTCTCCTTCTCCTCTCCCGCCTCCTTCTCGCCTCTCCTTCTCCTCTCCTGCCTCCTTCTCGCCTCTCCTCCCCTCTCGCCTCCTTCCCGCCTCTCCTCCTCTCCCGCCTCCTTCCCGCCTTTCCTCCTCTCCCCCACGGAGTAACGAGAGCAGCAGCGTCAGTCAGGTAGCCACGTTCGCTGGCATCAAGGGCCGCATCAGCCTGGAGGATGTGACTGAGACCCCCTCACCGCAATCCCTCACTCCCCCTCACTGCACCCGTTCACTCCCCCCCACCACGCCCCCTCACTCCCCCCCTCCACGCCCACTGACTCCCCCCCACCGCGCGCCCTCACTCCCCCCCACCACGCCCCCTCACTCCCCCCCACTCCCCCTCTTCCCCTTCATCTGCACCATCTGGCAGCCAATACACAGCCAACGACGGCCGCATTCAAGTGACAAAGGGGACAATGAAAGCTCTCATTCCACCCCTCCCTCCCCCCTCCCCCTTCGTGCTCTCTCCCCCACCTCTTCCCGCCCTCCTTTCCACCATTGTTAGCTGCACTTAGCAGCCACTTCACAGCCAGCAAGGGTCGCATTTAAGTGACACTGTTCTTTCCCCCTCCCCTTCCCCCTCCCCCTCCTCACTCCCCCTCCCCCTCCCCCTCCCCATCCCCTCCCCCTCTCTCCCCGACACCCCACCCTCCTCCCTCCACCTTTATCAGTGGCACTCAGCGCCCAATTCACTGCCAACAAGGGCCGCATCAGCCTGAAGAACGTGACAGTGCCTGCTGTCGGGCAGTGGACGTGGTCTGGCCTATTGGAAAAACACACTCTTCATGGTGAGGGGTGGGGTGGGGTGGGGTGGGATGTGATCGGGTGGTGCGGAAGGGGATGGCTTGCATGTATGTGCTTCAGTTCCCTCGTTGACCATACCATGTATTACCATACTATTCCGTACCATACCATGTGACCACTCCATGCAAGCACCTTGCCCAACCCTGCCCCTCTCACCCCCGCCCCTGCCACCATGCCCCTGCCACCATGCCCCTGCCACCATGCCCCTGCCACCATGCCCCTGCCACTATGCCCCTGCCACCATGCCCCTGCCACCATGCCCCTGCCACCATGCCCCTGCAACCATGCCCCTGCCCCCATGCCCCTGCCACTATGCCCCTGCCACCATGCCACTGCCACTATGCCCCTGCCCCCATGCCCCTGCCACCATGCCCTTGCCACTATGCCCCTGCCACCATGCCCCTGCCACTATGCCCCTGCCACCATGCCCCTGCCACCATGCCCCTGCCAACATGCCCCTGCCACCATGCCACAGCCACCATGCCCCTGCCACCATGCCCCTGCCACTATGCCCCTGCCACCGTGCCACTGCCACCATGCCCCTGCCACCATGCCACTGCCACTATGCCCCTGCCACCATGCCGCTGCCACCATGCCCCTGCCACCATGCCCCTGCCACCATGCCCCTGCCACTATGCCCCTAAGTTGGAAAAAATGCTCAAGTTTGATTGCGTATTGCGTTTAAACGCACAGAAAATACGTACGCTACGTTTTTGGCATAGATACGCCGAAATACGCACAGGCTGACCGAGAAAAAAAAATCGCGACATTTTGCGACTTAGCGAAAAATATTAACGGCTTCGCACATCGCAAACTCAGCTTCGAATTTGAATTTCGAACCCTACACGCACCAACCCCCCCTTTAAACATCTGTCCACCCCACTCCACCTCGTGACTTCCCCCAATCCCTCCCAACTCATCCCCGAGACGAACTGGCCTCAAACAGAGTCAGCTCTCCTAGCATAAATTACTGCCATTTCAAAATTCGATACTCATTCTTGCAGTACCCTTCCTCCCATAGCTTGCCCTCCACCATGACTACCAGCCCTACAGCATCACCCTCTCCCCCATCTGCTGAGGCACCCCGTAGTTCCTAGGCGTATTGCGTTTATACGCTCACATATAAATGCTTTCGTACAAAACGCGATACGCATATATTCCAACTAAGCTATGCCCCTGCCACCATGCCCCTGCCACCATGCCCCTGCCACTATGCCCCTGCCACCATGCCCCTGCCACCATGCCCCTGCCACCATGCCCCTGCCACCATGCCCCTACCTCCATGCCCCTGCCACCATGTCCCTACCTCCATGCCCCTCCCACCATGCCCCTACCTCCATGCATGGCAGATTTCCTCAAAGCCTACCACAGCGAGGGCAATGGAGTACTCATGATGGGCAAGTTCTTGCGCGCCTTGGCACGCACATCGTAAAGCTAATGCGGCATTTCCCGTGCCAACCATCCCTGGCAGATTTTCTCAAGGTCTACAGCGGAGTGGGCAATGGAGTCCTCATGATAGGCGAGTTCAAGAAGGTGCGTCTCATCCCACGATGTCCCATCACGTCCCATAACGTCCCATCACGACATAAAGAGCGCACCTCCCGTTTCTGCTGTCGCCGTGCCTTCTCCTTCCACGCCGCTCCCTCTGTGCCTTCCACCTCCCAGTTTCCCCCTTCCCCCCACCCTCCCACTGCAACCCATCACCGACTCTGTCAACCTCTATCCCTTGGCTCTCTGCTGCTCCCAGCAACCCATCTTCGATTCCATCATCTTCCCCATGGACCTGCTGTTTCTGTTGCACCGTGCCGTCTCCTTCCATGCCATCGCCCTCTCTGCCCTCTCCTCCCTCTGTGCCCTCTCCTCCCTCTGTGCCCTCTCCTCCCTCTGTGCCCTCTCCTCCATCTATGCCCTCTCCTCCCTCTGTGCCCTCTCCTGCCTCTGTGCCCTCTCCTCCCTCTATGCCCTCTCCTCCCTCTGTGCCCTCTCCTCCCTCTGTGCCCTCTCCTCCCTCTGTGCCCTCTCCTCCCTCTGTGCCCTCTCCTCCCTCTGTGCCCTCTCCTCCCTCTGTGCCTTCTCCTCCCTCCCCTCCCTCCCCTCCCTTCCCTCCCCTCTCCCCCCTCCCCCCCCTCTTCCTCCGGACAGGGTGCCATCCGGACAGGGTGCCATCCGGACAGGGTGCCATCCGGGTAGGGTGCCATCTGGATAAAGTGCCATCCGGCATCCAGGTAGGGTGCCATCCGGGTGAGAGGCTCCTATTTGTGTGAGCCGAACCCAGCATGGGTCCGAGCCCATCCCTATTATCTCACGTACGGAATCCCTCTTGCAAACCTTTCCCCTCCCCACTCCCTCTTCTCCTCCTCTTGCCAGTCCCCTCAACAGCCAATTCCCTCTCTCCCCTCTCCTCTCTCTTCCCCCTCTCTCGCCGTTTCCTCAACAAGCAAGACCTTTTCCTTCCCGCTTCCCATCGGCGTCCCCTCTCTCTCTCCCCCCCCTCCTCTTCTCCCCAAGCCCCCCAGCCGCTGGTAGCAGCAGCGTGGCACATAGTGCAGAGCTATCTGCTCAGTTGGTGATTCCTGGCAGTGCACTTCAGACGGGGCGACTTCAAGGACTACTGCCAGAAGAAGGTGGGGGGGGGGGGGGGGGGGGGGGGTGGGGGGGGCAGGGCTAGGGTACGCATGTGTGCGTGTGTGTGAGCACGTGTGTCCTGCATCATTTTCTCAGTGGGCGATTCCTGGCAGTGCACTTCAGACGCGGTGACTTCCAAGACTCCTGGCAGAAGAAGGAAGGTGAGCACGGGGTAGCAGGAGGTTAGGGTGGGGGTAGAAGAAGGGTGGACTGGTCAAAAGTAGAGTAGTGTACGTGGATGTGCTTTCAGTGCTTCCAGTGCACATTGGATCGGGGTTGTCCTACAAACTGTGATGATGTCATCCTGCCAAAAGTGTTTCCTCTCCTCCCACTGTCACACGCAGCACTATGCGTCCGTGCTGGCTGTTGCCATGGCAGCTCGTGCGTGGATGGTGTGTCAGAGTGTAGACTTGCATGTCCGTGGTGTTCTTCTCAGTACATATGCGATGGGTCATCATTTGAGGCGCTTAAGAGAGCCAACATAAGCGTACTGCGCATTGTGTCCTGCGTGCATGGTGTTGTCATCACACCTTACCACCTTATGCACTGTTTCCTCTCTTTCTTTCGACCCCACAGCAACCATCGGACGGCTGCTTCCTCCAGGTGGCACAGGCATCGCAGTGTGTGCGCGGGTGTGGCTGCAGTGACTGCCGGTGTGTCCAAAGTGTTTTCATTCTCATTCTCCCACTTGGCCCACCGTGCAGCACCCATCAGACAGCTGCTTCCTCCCAGTAGCGCAGGCATCGCGGTGTGTGCGCGCTGCTGCCATCACTGCCGGTGTGTCCCTTGTGTTCCTCGCCACCAACGCCCAGACGCACGAGGTCCAGGAAATGAAAGCTGCGCTCGAGGGGCAGCAGCATGGGCAGCAGGGGCAAGGTGTTGAGGCACAGCCACAAGGACCAAGCAAGGCACCTCGTGTGCAGCAACAAGCGCAGCACGAGCATCCATCTAGTGTTGAATCGCAACCATTGGATCTGCAACCCCAGCCATCGGATGTGCGATCCCAGCCGTCCATGCCTGTCATTGCTCGCCGCATGCTGCATCATAATGTTGACAGTTCCAACACTCCTGCAGACAAACTTCTAGATCCTACAACTGTCAACAGCAGCAGCACTGCTACCGGCAGCAGCAGTGCAGTGCAGCTTGTGACTTTATCGCATCTGCTCTCTAAAGAGGACAACAGCACCTGGCTTCAGTCACTTACGAATAACGTGAGTTGGCAAGGCCAGTAGAGCCCTGCTGTGGGTTTCTAGCCTAGGGCCTGTGAGGATTATTGTCTCACTTTTTAATGCCGAATCTGTGTAAGCTATGGTCCAAATAAAGTCCCGCGTAGTAGCACGCTATGCGCTATGCTCTTCTCTGTGCTCTGCTCTGTTCCAGCTGTCTTTGTTGCGATCTACTATGAGCTTTGCTCTGCCATTCTGTCCGTCCTCTGGTGCTCCAGTCTGTGCCGTGTTGGTTCCTCGCCTTGCTGCATCATTGGGAACTATCCATGCATAGACACCCTCCCCCCCAAGCACCCACCCGCGCCACTAGTCATGGTTAAAATGCGATGCGATGCGATATCGCATCGCATTTTGTCATATTGCACGTGATATCGCAGCGATGCGATCTCAAATTTTGAAGTCGCATATCGCTTTTTAGGGGGCGATGTTACAGAATATTGCATCCATGAATGCGATATATCACGCGATGCGATTTAATATCGCATCGCATTTAGGGGTCGGAGGAGAAAAGCAGAATAACAAGGCCGGCTTTCCTAGGTGCGCGAGGAATTAGGTGAGTGAAGTTTAACGGGAGAATGGGATATCGTAGCCCCTCTCTGATGTAAAGCGTGTTAGAGGGGCAGGGGTTGGATTCCGTTGATGTGGAGGAATGTATCAGAAAGAATAAATGACTAGAGTGGGGAGATACAAGGCACTAACATATTTAGTCTACAGTAACTGCATAAGTTATGTTTGACACACCCCCTAGACTATATAGGGGCAGTACCTAACAAGGGAAGAAGCAGCTCAGAGCGGCACTACTAGTCCGGCCTCTGAGACAAGGGTCTAAAGACCAGTCAAAGGAATACAGACAAGGCAAGAGCAAGACCAGGGCGGCACTACTAGTCCAGCCACTGGGAGAGGCCACAAGGCCAGTGAGGCTAAAAAATATATATAAAGGACAGTACAAGGTCAAGGCCCTAGCAAGTGAGAGGCTACAGGAACGAGACCTAGCTATACACAGTGCCGCTGATAATCTTTAGGCGCAAGCGCCTTCGTAAAGATATCAGCTGTGTTGGCACCGGAGGCCAAGTGAACTACACGGGCCTGGCGATGCTGCTGCAACTCACGCAAGAGGAAGTACCACAGCTGGATGTGCTTCGCTCTGCCCTCGAGTCAAGGCTCCTGACACAGGAGGATCATGGCCCTGTTGTCAGCGTACAGGACCGCGGCAGAGCTAGGCCGCTGACCTAAGTCTGTGAGCAAGAAGGTCAGCCAGCGGAGCTCCTGTGCCGCCATGGCACCTGCGTAGATCTCGGCCTCACAACTGGACTGGGCAATAGATGAGGAGCGGGTAGCTCTCTACGAGATGGCACCTGAACCAAGGCTGAAGCAGTAGCCCTGCGAAAACCTGAGGGTCTCGGCGTCGTCTGCCCAAGAAGCGTCTGTGTGCCCAGTAAGGACCACTGGCCTGCGTCCTCCTAGCACTAACCCCATGTCCGATGTACTTGCAAGATAACGCAAAACCCTCTTAGCGGCAGACCAGCGCTGAGGTAGGTGTCTGCCTGTAGCCACAAAGCGAGCCAGGATGCTGAGAGGGTATGCAAGATCTGGGCGAGTGCAAGTCATCAGGTACATGAGGCAACCCACCAGCTCTGCGTAAGGACCACTGGGCTTTGCAGTCTCCTCAGGAACTGGAGCAGAGAGCCTGTGGTCTAGGGGCAGAGGAATGGGCTGTGCGGAGGAGAACTGAAGGCCGAACCTCTGAAGGACCTCGCGCACCAAGTGTGACTGAGTCAAAGTGATAGTGCGCGCTGCTCTGTCCCTGGAGATCTGCAAGTCAAGGTAGTGGTGCAGTTCTCCAAGGTCAGTGCAGGTGTGTCTCTTCAGCAGCTCTGCCTTCACGGAGGCCAGTGCGCCCCTGTCTGCCGTGGCGAAGACCAGGTCGTCTACGTTAACAAGGATGTAGAACAGGGTCTGGCCAGCACGAACGAAGAGCGAGGGGTCTGCAGAGGACGGAAAGAACTGCAGGTTAGCAAGCGTAGCACGCAGCGTGTCGTGCCACTCACGGGGAGCCGGCCGCAGGCCGTAGACGGGGCGCTGCAGGAGCCACTGGGTCCCAGGAGGGAAGGTACCGGTGAAGCCCTGAGGGCGGCGCAGGTAGACCTGCTCGTGTAGACTGCCCTGAAGAAACGCAGTAGAGAAGTCGAGGGAGTGAAGCTCGTAGTCACGCTGAGCTGCTACGTGTAGTAGCACCCGAAGAGTAGTCATCTTCGGGGTCGGAGCGAAGGTTTGGAAGAAGTCCACCCCCTCACGCTGACTGAAACCTCTAGCCACGTAGCGCGCCTTGAACACAGGCGGCTCTCCAGGAGGGCGCTTCACCTTGAAGAGCCCGCGGCCATCGACTACGTTCACCCCAGGTGGTGGAAATGCGTGGACGTAGGTGCCGGTGGATCTCCAAGACGCCATCTCCTGCTCCATGGCAGCTATCTAGTGAGAGGCCCTGGGTCCTGAGACCGCCTCAGCGTAAGTGCGAGGGGTCGGGATGTCGAAAGCGTCGGGGTCACCCTCAGGGACTAGAAGCATAGAGCAGAGATGGGGAGCAACCTCGGACAGGAAAGCAAGCTCGTACTGGCGGTCCTCCAGGACGTCACTGCCGAGGGCAGGAGCACCCCCGACAGACGGAGGACAGGCAGGGTCAGAGACCAGAGAGGTGGCGTAGTCAAGGCGGCGGGTAGAGGCAAATTCAGCGACCGCAGCGACAAGGGCGTCAAGACTCGAAACTGGAACAAACAAGTCAGTAACGAGGGTGGCAAGGACCCGAGGAACAAGAGGACGAGTGGCACGCAGGTAGTGAGACAGAGGGGGGGGAGCAACAACAAGGGAGGACAGAGGGAGCGACGGGAGAAGGGGAGGACGAGACGCATGGGAACAAAGCAACATAGGGTGAGAGCGTGAGACAGGGGAGACAGGTCGAGCACGGGAGGGGCGGCGAGACCAGACATGAGACAAAGGAGCCGGGTCAGGACACAGAGGAGGGGACAGAGGAGGGGAACGAGGGGGGAAACAGGCCGGAGACGAGTCCAGAGGAGGGAACACAGGGCCGTAGGCAGGAGGAGGAGGAGGCATGGGCACGGGGTCAGGGGACGGAATGCCGAGCAGACGAAGAGCGGACATCGGCGGGAACTGCTGCAGCGGCGGAGTGACACCAAAACCGGGACCGCAAGCGGCCTGGCGGCTACCTCCAGAACACTCCACGCCAGCACCCCTAGAAGGAACACCCCCAGAAGGTACCAACCCCAGGCACACCAGGACAAGCCACGACAAGAGTCCGAGGACAAGTACGCACCCGAACTCCAGCACCCCCAGAGGCAACGAACGGTTGCGACGACGGCTGCGGCAGCGGCGGCTGCGACAGCGGGGGCGACGGCGGCTGTGGAGGTGGCAGAGGAGACACCGGAGAAGGGGCAGGCGGCGAGGACTGCGCCGCAGGACCACCAGAGTTTGCAGACTCCTCAACCGGGACAACCGACGTAAGTGGGGTGACGTGGAACACACCAGAGGGGGCAGGACAGGGGAGGGTACCGTCAAGATGGACAAACAGACAGTGGCCATCCTGCCGCTGACCACTGAGGTGGCGACAAAGGTCAGCAAGCCACGCATCAAACTCAATCGGCTGGCCCTCAGCATCAAAGCGAAGCACCTCCACCATCAGTGACAATAGAGGGCAGTACAGTGCGGTGCAGTACGGCACGAGTAGTGCAGTGCGGTGCAGGACAGTGCAGTACGGTACAGTGCAGTACAGTGCGGTGTAGTGCGGTACAGTGCGGTGCAGTGCGGTTGAGTATGGTACGGGGGGGGTGGGGGGGGTTCGCAGGGCGGTGCTGATCGGGAAGAACGGGCCGAACCTGAGGCGGCGGCGGGCTGGCGACGACGCGAATGCAGGAGCCGGCCGGCGGACGGTAGAAGCGAGGGGCCAGGAACGGCGGCAACAGGGGCTGGCGAGGAGCTGGCACGACGGCGAGTAGGGCCGGCCACGACGGCGAGGAGACACGGCTGCGAAGGCGGCCAAGAACAGCCACGACGGCGGCTAGGGGCAGCTGCGAAGGCAGGAGTGACCGTGAGGCAGCTGGAGATGGCAGCGACAGCGGCTAGGGGCGGCCGCGACGGCGAGGGGGCGGCCGTGAGACGGCTAGGGGCAGCCGTGGGACGGCAGGAAACGGGCGCGACGGCCAGGGGGGAGGCCGGCTAGGGACGAGCGCGATGGCCAGGGGCCCGGCTAGGGACGGGCGCAACGGCCAAGGGGCCGGCTAGGGGCGGACGCGACGGCCAGGGGGCCGGCTAGGGACGAGCGCGACGGCCATGGGGCCGGCTAGGGACAAGCGCGACGGCCAGGGGGCCGGATAGGGACGAGCGCGACGGCCAGGGGGCCGGCTAGGGACGGGCGCGATGGCCAGGGGACCGGCTAGGGACGGGCGCGACGGCCAGGGGGCCGGCTAGGGACGGGCGCGACGGCCAGGGGGCCGGCTAGGGGTGGACGCAACGGCCAGGGGGCTGGCTAGGGGCCGACGCGACGGCCAGGGGGCCGGCTAGGAACGAGCGCGACGGCCAGGGGGTTGGCTAGGGACGGGCGCGACGACCAGGGGGCCGGCTAGGGACGGGCGCGACGGCCAGGGGGCCGGCTAGGGGCGGACGCGACGGCCAGGGGGCCGGCTAGGGGCGGACACGACGGCCAGGGGGCCGGCTAGCGACGGGCGCGACAGCCAAGGGGGCCGGCTGGAGGCGGACGCGATGGCCAAGGGGCCGGCTAAGGGCGGACGCGACGGCCAGGGGGCCGGCTAGGGACGGGCGCGACGGCCAGGGGGCCGGCTAGGGGCGGACGCGACGGCCAGGGGGCCGGCTAGGGGCGGACGCGATGGCCAGGGGGCCGGCTAGGGACGAGCGCGACGGCCAGGAGGGCCGGCTAGGAGCGGGGCACGATGGTGGCTAGGGCCTAGAGGGCGGAAGCGTGGGCGGGCTAGGGGGGAACCTAACCTACTATGATACCATATCAGAAAGAATAAATGACTAGAGTGGGGAGATACAAGGCAATATAGTCTACAGAGTTGTACCCACTAAGGCAAAAACATATATAGTCTACAGTAACTGCATAAGTTATGTTTGACAGAATGTAGTGCGGTTGAAGTGGTG